CAGGGCTTCTCTCCCCCCGGACCTTGCCTTTCTGGCACCCCCCCACCCCCCACCCCACCCCGTTCTGGCCCTTCCCAGCCCTCACCTCGACCCCTTTCACTTTCAGCTTCATGTGGTCCTCGCGGGTGGTCTTCCCGTCCTTGCGCTTCTTCCAGCAATAGCCGTCCTTGCGATATTTCACCTTCTTGCGGTTGTACAGGATGATGGATCCATTCTGAGGCCTGCCAGAGAGGAGGTGCAGGGTCAGGCACAGCAGGGATCTTCCAGCAGGGCCGGCGTCTGGAATGCTTTCAAAAACTGGCTCCCAAAGAGGCCTGGGGCACTCCGGAACCAAACAGATGCCAACTCCGACAGGAGGCCGAACTGTGCTGGGGACGCCAGGCCTCCCTGCAGGGTGGGCCCCAAACGGACGATGCTTTAGCGAAAGTTGCTTGTTTCATGCTGCTTTTAATCAGGGGTCATCTCCTGCAGTAGCGCACAGAAGCGGAGCTCCGGCAGTAAAGAGCCCAGGGGGCGGGCACATGCAGCAAGCCCCACCCCCTGCTCCCAGCAGCCCTCAGTCAGAGCAAGAAGCAGCCAGGTAAGCTGCAGCCCCCCCCCCGGTCCCCCGGTCCAAAACAGTCCAGTGGCGCCTTTAAGACCAAGTTTTATTCAGGCACAAGCTCTCCCTCCTCTGCGAGGGCAGATCTGCACGTCCCCCCCCCAATAGCTAGCAATCCAAAACAGTCCCGTGGAGCCTGAGCGGTGGGTGTTGCCTTCTGACACACTTCCGGTGATGTCAGGGTGTGTGGCATATGCAAATGAGTTATGCTAATGAGCTCCTGCACCTCTTTTTCTACGAAATGACCCTTGGTTGTAACTTACAAGATGCGTCTCTTAAACATACTTCAGGCCTGTCTAGTTATTCAGTCTTTTGGGGAAGAAGGAATTAGTCATATCAATTTTGCATCAGAATATTCACTGATCTTGGGGGATGCTTACGTACTTTTAAATTATTTGCCTGTCTCCTGGAGGCCAACTGATAGTCAGTGAAAATGGACCCCCTGTGCCCTTAGTCTAGCTAAGAGACTCGTATTACAACACTGGATATTGTATGTATGGCATACAGATGACAATTGCCCATGTACATATTTTTAGATATTTGGAAACCTCTTGTTGAGGCTTATCTGGAGACCTGCCACCGGTGCTGTTATATTTTGTCTCTCATCCTTTCGGTTTTGGAGATATTCCTTTCCCCTTATGTCTCTGCAACAAAAAGGGCTAGAGAACTTACTTTTTAAAAATGAAAGCTGGTAATTCTAGTAAATAGGCTGTTGTAATGTGATAACACTATAGCAATACTTCAGCTGCTTGGATTTTTTTTTAAAGGCCCTTCAGGGTAGTACGCAGGGGAGGTGGGAATGGCAGCCAGCCGTGGAGCAAGGAAAGTGAAGGGAAAAGAGTCGTGGGAGGAGGTGGCTCTCCGGCCACTACAAATGCCTCTGCGATGGGCGCTGCATGGGGAACCCTCACGCCCCAGCCCCAGGGAAGTACATCTGCCCCCCCCCCCATCTTCAGTAGGCGGCAGGAAATGGTTCTATTTAGGACTGAATTTTATTAAGGTTACTAGTAGTCCTGGGTTGTGGAGTTTTTTTAATTTAGGTTTTTGGGGATTTCATTTATGTATTTTGCCTATAAGTCGCCTTGCACACCACAAGGAAAGAAGTCAGCCAATCAATGTTCCCCCCAAAATGAAATAAATAAAATCGAAACAGAGGCAAGAGGGTTTCTTCCTTGCATCAGCCCCCCCCTCCCGAGAAAATCTCCACCCCACAAAGATTCAGCCTTTGCAGCCAATCCTTTCTGAAATGTCTCCTTGCGTGGGGCAAAGCGTGCCACTGTTGTCTGCCCTGTTGAGGGTCCCCTAAGCGGGAGAGAGGCAGAATCCCTCCTTACCTGGTCTTGGGGGAGCAGGAGAGCCATTCTTCGTGCTTCTCAAAGGTGATCAGGTAGGAGGCGATCTCCTGGAGGGACAGAGAGAGGGCCGGAAAATCAGGAAAGTGCCCCGACTCCTCCCACCGTCCTCCCTCGGAGAAATGTGGGGAGCCAACAGCAGCATCCCAGAGTCACAAGGACTAGGTTGGAAGGGCCAGGGAGACAGACGGTCCGACCCCTGGCCAGCAGCAGGCACGGTCAGTCAGGTGGGAAAGAATCCAGCCGTTCCAGCTGACGGTCCCACCCCATCCGGGATGCCAGGGCCTTGCTAAACAAGAGGCCTGTCGGGTGGG